TAGTTTCTCTGGTGGATTCCCGGTATTTGAATACAAATGAATTCAAATTTGCCGCGGTAAATTAGTGTCGCTATCTAGCGGCGAACGTCCGAACTATTTTCGGAGTATGATCAGCGCCTCTATCGGGAAAATGCTCAAGTTTGTCGTGAAATAGTTCCCACTGTCAACGCTAGATGGAGCCATTTGTTTCGTCCAAGTTTTTTTTATTATATCCAATAACAAATAGGTGAACAAGATTCGTAATGTTAAAATTTGAATGGAAACCCATTTTTAAACCTTTGTTCTTTATTTTTTAATTAAAACGAACAAATGGCCCCATCTAGCGTTGACAGTGGGAACTATTCCACGACAAACTTGAGCATTTTCCCGATAGAGGCGCTGATCATACTCCGAAAATAGTTCGGACGTTCGCCGCTAGATAGCGACACCAATTTCCCGCGGGAAATTTAAATTTCTTTTTAATTAATTAAATTAAAGTTCATTAGAAGCATTTGTAGATACTATAGAGTAGTTTAAGGGTTTACTTACTAGTCTGCTCACTGACCAGTTTCGGCTTCAACTGGAATTTGAATTTTCTATCGAAAGTTTTTGTTAACCAAGTTATATAAGATCACCTTTTTTTTAAAGATAACAACGCGGAAACTTATTTTTTATGCTTCTGATTTATTCATTTTAATTTGGTTCCTAAGTCTTTTGTTTATCTCTTCCATTTCTCATCGTTTGGTACAAACATTCAAAAATACGTAACGGAAATATTAAATAACAACGAAAGCAAATCTCGCACAACACGACAATTCGCAAATATATACATTTATATATAACAATACGAGCAAACCGAACATTAAATGTGTTATTGACCCATCGTACAATGTAAACTCGTTATACAGAAGATTTCCACTCATAGATACCTTAGGCGGACGCACCGACTAAACACTCGATTTCTGAAACATTCACGAATCGAAATTTGACACAACCGCGCTAAAATTGTTCGATAAATTTATTACTAGGATCCTATGCTTCACCATGCGTCTTTAAATGTATTTTCAGTGTAGTTCTGTTGATAAAAGCTTTGGAACATACAGGACAAGAATGCGTACGTGACAAATGAAACTTTAAATGTTCGTTAAACTGTGCACTCGTTTTAAACAGTTTTTTACAAATATTACACTTGCGTTCCTCTTCGTTTTCTTCTTCTAGGTGTGTTCTCGTGTGTCTGTCGACCTCGCCAACGTTGTCGAATTCCATGGAGCATACTCTGCAGGTAAACTTTACGGCTCGAAGAATACCTATTTGACTACCAGTTAGGGGGTTGGGTACTGGAAATATATTATTGGTCTCGCTGATGCTACACCTTAAACCTTCTTTCTTTTTATGACAACTTATATGGTTTCTGTAAAAATATCAATAAATTACAATCGATCGATGGAACGGTGGTTCGAAACATATTCTTACGACAATGAAACCTACCTATAAGCGTGTTCGTTCCTAAATGTTATGTTACAACTGATGCAACGATAATCTTGTTGTTGAGGTATTTGTTGAGTTAAAGGCGAGGCTGTTACTTGCAAAATTGTATTTTGTAATTTTATGGTTGGATGTACGATTAAATAATGTTGCCTCGCGTCCTCTTTGAGTTCAAATATTTCTGTACATTGATGACACTTATACGGATACAACGGATCCGTACTAACGTGTAATCTTACATGTTTATCGTAAGTCACTTGCGAGCTACACTCTGTTTGGCACATGTCGCATGTAAAATGAGTTTTAGTGTGAAGGTACAGGGACTGTGAAGATGGAAAAGTCTTGTAACATATAGCACAGATATTATTCTTCTCTGCTGGATTGTCACACTTCTTCATTATGTAATATTTATCGCAGTGTTCACACTGAAAAGCTGGCTTCGATTCGTACACAGATTTTTTTAATTTACAACCGCCTTTCACGCAAACAGCCTTTCTATTACCTTTCTGTAAAGATTGATCTCTCTGACCCATATCTATTATACTTTTAGTAAGTTGTAACTTTTCCTTCTTCAACTGTGCCAATATCATGAGCTTCTTTGACCTTGGACATGGTCTACCATATATTTTGTCTATTTGTATTGTTAAACGATATTGTTTTTTACCTATTTCCACATCGTGATATAATTCAGATCTTAAAAGGGCAGATCCATTTATGGATATATCATGATCAATAGATATATCCATTTTATCTACATCATTTGTTTCTTCAACCTGTAACATCGCATTTGCTGAGTAATCTTTCATACCGAGCACTTGAAACTTAAAAATACAGTAACATTCTTTACATTAGCTATTAGCTGGGTGCAAGGACTTTTAACTGGAGTTATTAAACTAGAAGAATCCTCGTTTAATTTTTTCTGTTTTAAAGGTGGACTTTTAGACAATTCAGTTTCGGGTACACTATCAGCTTTCCGTTTTCTCTGTCCTTCTGCAACAAATTTAACATTGTTCTTTCTAAAAAGTTTAATAAACAAACAGGCGTTTGTCACTGTTGTGGATACCTTCTAATTTATCGAAAACAGTTGGGACAGAATTAGGTTTCAGTTCCTTTAAACTTGTAAAATCCATCTGCTCGAAATGCAGTTCGCAAAGGTAGAGTGGCTTATCATTTGTAGAGGTGTCATCTAACTGACAATTCCTTATCCACTGATTCCTTTGACTGAAAACGTCGAATAATGTATACAAACATTATACGCTGTAGGTTGTTAAGAGACAAGAATAACAAATACTCACGCAATATCGTCGGGAAAAGGGAAAAATAAAATGTTTCTTCGGTCGACTTTCGTATCCTGATTCGAAAGACAGTCACGCGCTACGCAGGTTAACATTATATCAGCAGGAAAATCTCCTTCAAACAAATGCGCTCTCTTACAAAAATCAACAATAGACTTATAAAAATGGTATTATGTACACAGAGGTTCATTAATTCGTTTCGTTTGAGGGGAATACGACACGCCAAACGCATCCCCTCCCCTTCCCCTGAGCGGCAAACTTCCAATTGGGTGCATTCAGAAAGGCCATCGCTCACTGAGCGGTTCAGTGAGCGGGTTTAACACCAGTGGCGCTATCGGTGAGAAAACACCCAAGTATGTAGTAAAATTAGTTTCCATTATTGACGCTAGATGACGACTGTGTAAGTTGACGACTCCATCTAGCGCGAACGAAAAGAACTATTTTTTCGACAAACTTGGGCATTTTCCCACCGATGGCGCCACTACGTGTGGCTTTTTTAGACGCACTCAAACACTTGTTTTTAACTTTACTTCTTATTTTTGATTTCATCAACGATTGAAATATTCAAACTACTTCTAAACAAGTCCCAAGAGCAATACACGTTCTATTTAATAATGTTTACTGATCGTACTCTCGATTCTGTGAGTTTCGATTCGCAATTATCACCCACAAAGTACGTTGTTTTATTATCATATATTTCATCGTAGAATCTGTCATTTTTTGCTTTAATTGTTATTGTTTTCTAGGTCGCAATTATCGACGACTGTTCAAACAACTGAGATTATTTGTGATCAAAATCCCGTGCAAACAATTGAAACGAGAAGCATCGAGGTACTTGTAAATACATTTGTAAATGTACGAACGACGAATGAATAAATATTTCTCGTTTTAGACTCAAACTGTAATCGAGGAAAAAAAGGAGCCTACCGTGGACTATCAAAAATTGGTTCAATTTTTGAATAGAGTTACACCAAGTATAATGGAAGCTCTAGATGAGGCATATGAAACAAATGCATTCGAAGATTCTGACCCAAAAACTAGTGAGGATTCGCTTGCAAGCACCCAGCTATTGCAAAAAATTAACAGTACTGAAGCAGATACACCGGTACCGACTATTCATTTATAATTATTAATATTTTATATAATTTTGTTGAATTTATATGTACTTCCAGATGAAAGTAAGCGATATGTGTTGGAGCATCGGAGGAGGAACATTAGCTGTTTCCCATGGCATTCCTTACCATGAAACGTGGTGTGATCATCTGTCTAAGATACACTTATACAGCCAAACAAAGGACAATGATTTCCTTAATACTCCAAGTAAAACGTTAGAAACTAATTCGTGTATCACATCCTTGGCTTACCATCCAAATGAACCATCCATTATAGCAGCTGGCTTGTTCAATGGTAACTTACTAAATTTTCAAATAAACTTATGTTTATAGATTAAAATCTCTATATAATTGTTATAAAGGTGATGTCCTCGTTTGGAACTTGAGAGATGATGTATCAGTGACACCAACAACTGTGTGCACTCATGGAGATTCAGTGTCTCAAGTGTACTGGAAAGCAAGAACTGTAAATGATGTGTCCTTGCTAGTAAGCTCTGGCAAAGATGGATACATTTTTTTTCATAGAATGGGGGCTAACTTTACCATTGCTCGTTCATACAAACGGTAATTGTTTTCTCAAAGACTATTCAGAGATAGTATATATATATATATATATATATATACATATGTAAATATTTTTGTATACATTGTACCTTATTTAGATTCAAAGTAGCCAAAGAACACAATCCAATAGAGAGTTCAAGACCGCGCAGTGCGGGTGGAACTCGTGAACGCGCCGTTGAATCTGGATTGTGTATCACCAGCTTTGACTTTTTATCTAGGGATACTGTATTTTTCATTGTAGGCACTTTATGTGGTGGAATATACAAGTGCAGCGTAGAGCGCGTCGCTCCTATCGAAGGTATGTATTCTACTGATATTCTTGTACTATGTCATTATTTCTCTTTATTAATTACAGGAGATGAAACTCTTATAGATCCTGTAGTAGACGAATACGACAGACACGAAGGTAGCATTACTTGCGTTAAATGCTCTCCTACTCGTGACCTGTTCGTCACTGCTGGCACAGATAGGGAGATGCGTATATACGATTTCGAAGAGGTACGGATTTTATTTATAAAAATCACTCGAATACTTTGAATTTCTCAAGAATAAATATTTGTTCGTACTGTTCAGCATTCGTGCCTGCGCTCGATTTCCTTTGAAAATACTATCGTAGGATTTACGTGGATGATCGGGAATCAGGATGTATTGGCAACTTATGGGGCTGGCTCGAACATAAAATTGTACAATATCACCGATGGTAGACCTGTAACAAATGTGAAATTTGAAACACCTGGTAGGGAAAACGCCAGCTGCTTACGCGTCAATTCTAAAAAGTAAGTTCTTGTAAGTTATTCGATTAGATCGGAAAATAGAATTACGTTATTTATACATTTTTTTTGCAGAGACTTGTTGGCCATAGGCGACACCCACGGAAATATAGAAATCTGGAAGATTCCGCGACAATTATTCTAACAGTATTTTGCTTAAAAAATTATCTAATAAAGTTCGTTTATTTAACTTAAAAGTTATATTATATATAAACGCTGTTTTTTTTTTTACAATACACATTATAAAACAAATGTATATTTATTGGAATAAAATATATTACTTTTGTATAAAAGTACTCTGTGGTTTTAAAAAAATTCATTTTCAGTTTTCCCTCAATGAATATAACAATACACGTTAAAATTAACCCGCGATATTAATAACACATGATATTTCATCAGACATTTCGTGCCCACGATTTGTATACATATATGAGGACAACTTCGAAGTCCATATTTCATTGCCCAAAAATAACGTAACGTGTTTATTGCGGAAATGCACGACTAAAGAATGTGGGCCCAAAAATACAATGAAACAAGATCATCAGTAGTTTAAGAAAATAATGGAATATGAAACACTAAAAAAACAAGGAGTTAGAGGATATATGTAGTTAGTGTACATACTTATCGATCTTTTTGTAAGTCTCGATTACTTTAGACGCTATAGCTAAGTGAAAGCTTAAGACGGTTCGACGTGACCTACTACTATGGTCAATTCTAGAAAGTTGAAGAACTTACGGTACTTCTAAGCCTAAGAAACAGTAACGAGTTAGAAATGGAAGAATCTTGTCCGTGTTATTACTTAAAAATATATTTATTAACACTTGGTCTTCGATATAAAAATATATTCATGAAAATTCCACGATCGATACGATCAAGTTTTTAATAGCGAAACATGACTCACAGCGACCAATCGATTTCTCTTCTATAAAATACAGTTATGCTCGTCACGCTCTTCCTTTCAGTTTTTGAGGCATGACTTTGTCTTTTCGATTAGTCATACTAAACGACACGGTTGCGCGCGTCATAAAGTTTTAAAATACAAGGCAAATATTTGCAGGCTACAAGTACGTGCATAAAACAATATTGAGAAAAGAGAATCGATAAGCAGACTTTTTTCTTCTTGCTTTCGTTCAACGTCTGACTACTGATTCGTATAAGCAACAAAACAAGGCCATCAATCTTCGCACCGTTTCCATTAAGTTTCGAGTTCACTGTCCGTCACGAATTTCAGTGCATATACTGTATTTCATTACATTTAATCGGTGCGAAAGAAGATCGTGTGAAGACAGATTAACTTCTTACAATCTTATCAGAATAAATGAATAAAAAAGTTAGAAAGACAGATATCTTAATACATGCTAGATTTGTCTGCTATAATAAAGCGTTCTTGTGCGAATCCACACGTATACATGCTAATCTTGGTAGGGCATTGCCCGGAGCATTCGTATACCACACTGTAGCTGTACTGGTGGGACAACTACAAGATTATACTGCGAAATGAAACATGCATCGGCTGAACGATCGAAAATAGTTTATTAAAGTCACTTAATTTTTCATGCTTGTAGCGTATTTATCGCTAGGAGTATCTTTTGTGGTCGTTCCAAATCCATCGAGGCTCATTCATCCTATTTAGTACGCGAATAGGTTATGTAACTCAATTGTAATATTAAATTGAACATTATTGAATGAATTACTCACTGTTAAAAAACAAATTATAAACTTAGCACAACTTTTTAAAACGTGACTTCGATATTTTTCGACACATGACGATCTATAAAAGTAGTAAAGATTCTAGTTTCAAAAAATTACATTTACTAACGTTGATCAGTTTATATCGTAACACTTGACGACGATACAAAAATGGAATCTTGTCAGAAAAGTACGTCGTGTCGATACGGTAAAACTAGCTTGTTTTTCTAGCGAAACGTGACGCGAGTGACGCGACATACTTCCTGAACGATACCGGTTATCTTCCATGGCCTTCTGAGGTTTCGACGCAAATGTGCTTAAGTCACGCTGAGCAATACTTACCCGTTCGTACCGCAAACTGTTGCGTCAGCAATAGTTATCAATTTTCAAAGGAAATCAAACATGTGTCGTATAAAACTTACAGGACTGCAACAAAGATGGGGTTAGGTTATGTACATTAAATCGTTAAAATTTGGAAAGATTAACATTATACGCACCAAAGTACTGGCTGGCCAGGCTGAAAATTTAAAGTTTGCGACGCACCCCTAGAAGGGACACAAGCAATTCGGGTACAATGGGATTTTATCCAGACACAAATTTTATTTTGTTTTATTTTGAGGCAGGATTAATTTTGTCCTTACGAAGGATAAGTTACTGAAAAGCTTAGCCAAAAATGGCAGCTGTGATATATTGTCCTGAAAAGGACAGTTTTTAATAGATTGTCCTGAAAAGGACAGTTTTTAATAGATTGTCCTGAAAAGGACAGATTTTCTATTCATGTTGATCCAAGAGATTGATGCTCCGTAGATGATGCATTTGCGGGCCCTGAGAAGGGCCCTAAAGAAAAAGGGTGTAGTAAAAGGAAATTGTGGACGGGATATGCATAAGACTTGTTGAGGTATAAGGTGGAAACGGAAACTAAAGATGATTCTCGTTGGGTAGTCGTGAAGAGGTGAAGCTAGGTAGCTTCGTAGCGTGGCTTGCCATGTTCTTGTTTCACTAGTATCAAAGAAAAGCGTGTAGGGAAAAAGTTTGGGAAAAACGAGACGGGGACAAGGAACAGAAAGGATCGTTTGCGATACTATGGAAACGTTACAAATTTTCTCCTGTTGTTCTCCTTCATCTTTCATTTTGTTCATAAAGTGGCTCCATCTGCGTTTAAGTAAACACCAAAGAAACTTGGAACGCGGCGTTGTACCGTGTTTCTTTCCTGTGTAACGGGGCCTTAATCGAAAATTGTCAGGCGTTCCCGTTACAGAAACAGCTTTCTCTCCATTTTGTATCTCCGCTTGGAATCTTTTGCGCTTCCCCATCTATCGTTTATTTGCAATTGTACAGTGTTAGGTTATGTGCGCCCGGTGTTTGTATCAATCTTTTTTTTTTTTTTTCTGCACACGTGACTCACATAAACGCGCGTTTCGTTTTACGAATCGGCTCTATTTGTTTCTCCTGCACTTCTGTCGCGTTATGTACATACGTGTCATACGGATGTGTATCTTTATGCTTGTGTGTATGTAATTGTGCTGTACCGAAATATTTTCTTCAATGAAGTCAATTTTGAGAAACGTTTCGCGAATAGCATCGGAAACTTCTCCTTCCATCTTTCTAAAAAAGATCCTCGCATATACTTTGTCCGCAGACGGAAGAGGAACCAAAAATTTGTTCTTCCATCGACTTGTCTTTGAACTTTCGCGCCAGGAAGTTGATAAAAACCATTCCTGACGATTATTGCACACCAACGCTTCTGTTTTCTTTCTTCTTCTTATCAATATTCGTCTTCTTTGTCACTTGCTCCATGCTTATCGCATCTTTCCTTTCCTCGATCCATCTCATTCATTCATCCCCTCTGTCACACATGCATACACATTCTCGACTGACTTTATACACAGATTTTTTTTGGCGCTTTTTGTTCTCAAAAAGACATTTTTTTCTGATCATTTTTTAGAAATCCTCACATTCGTTCCAGCTTCGCTCTTAGATCCGATTTCAATCCCAAAATGATCAACGCAGACAGCGTTTTATATTTTTTCTTCATTGTTTTCCACACACAATCGTCACTCTTCGTTCCTTCTTCGATTCGTTTCTCACTTTCTTCGAATCGACGATCTTGAAAGACACGTTTCTTCCCTCTCGTTCCAATCTTTCACTTCGGTGCTGCTACCAATCGTCTTCTTCTTCTTCTTCTTCTTCTTCTTCTTCTTCTTCTTCTTCTTCTTCTTCTTCATCTTCATCTTCATCTTCATCTTCTTCTTCTTCGTCTTCGTACTACAGCGATACACGAACGTATCCTTGCAAATGCGTGTAGATACCGAATAACAGTACCAAAATTACGATATAAACGTTTACGGTTTAGATACCAACTTGTTTATCCGCCTACTTCTATCGTTCGCGAAATATTACTGGCTCTCCAATGTGTTTCCCTTCATTTCCGGAGGATCTCTCGATCGTTTTCACGCAACGTAGCCGTTCGCATTCAACACGTTTGCGCTGTTACTTCTATAATGGAAACTTCTAGATCGTTTCCTCTTAGATAGGAGAAAAAAACGGCAAAAAATAATTGTTCCTCTGTCGGGGCCTCGTAATGGACGATGCTTGAAAAAATGTCGAGTCTTCCTCTTTCCCCCAACGACTAGACCTACTGGCACGTCACTTCCGATACAGTTTCTTCGAGCAATCCTATTCACGTCGGACGCGCAAACACGAGACAATTGTTTCGCCAAGAGAAACAACGGGATGCGCGTCGAAAGGTGGCCAATCGATGATCTCATTCTTCGTCGATCGCGCCATCGTTAAGCCCTCCCGTTATCCTCTTGTCTCGTTCGCTTCAGTCTTGGTCTTCCATCTTCAATGGAAGAAAATTCGACAGGAGTACCGGCGGCTGCAAATCTATCTCTCCCGTGTAAGATCGGTCCCTCCGGTCGAGATTCCCTCTTCCTGAATGAATTGTGATCGTGGGCGATATCTCGAGATCGGCGATTCAACCGGAATGTATTATCGATGCTTCTCCCATTCACGTTTAAACATGGAAGCGACCAAGAATGGCAGACGAGCTTTGGGAATGATAAAAGGAAATCTCGTTGTTGCGCGTAACGACGGTGTTTCTCTTCTCTTCTTCTCTCTTGCCACCCTTCGTCCATGCCGTTACTCGAATACTCGTTATACAACTACCGAGGCCACGAATATTCCAACACGACTCGGAAACGTCGGGGAAACTCCGGTTGGACGACTTTGAAAATCACACAGCCATCCTTTCGTCCCCAAAAAACATCGAACTTCTTCACCGTTTGCATAACAAAATATTTTATATCGTGCGCTTGTCACGGCTCGCGCGAACGAATTCGATTTTGTTCTCTCTCATTCTCTCTTCCTCGTTATGTACAATTGTTATTGTTGCATCGTTATTATCAATCGATCCTCCCCATCTCGCGCGAAACGGGCGTTCGTCGAGGCGTTTAAGCGCGTCGCGCTCGACGCGTCCACCTAGCCGAACCTTAAACGTACTTCTTTGCGGTTGTTTTTGTTTACGTACAATAATAGATATACTTTTACAACTCTATCCTTACGTACCCTAAATTTGACAGCAAATTGCATCGTATCCGCGACGGAGTTTATCAAAGAGACACGGAAAGGGGAAAATCGTTATCGGTGTTTCTCGGTTCTCGTTACATCGACACCACTATACGTCGTCGGTGATGTCGTCGTCTCATCGCTCAGCGTTTTATCGTCATCATTACAGAGATCGCGACTCGATTATCCTTAATATTATCTACGATTTACAGCTTACGATAAACTCGTCGACCTCTATTCGTTGGAACGACAGAACAAAAGTTCTGACCTTCTGCTTCATCTTCTTTTTTTTTTTGTTTTTTTTTTGTGTAACCTCATCGGACTCGCGACACTTGTTCCCTCGAAATCAACGGGACAAACGACGCTCTTCGTCGATCGCTGTTTTTGAACGATTTTTTTTTTTTTCTTTTTGTTTCCTCTACAGCTTGTTTCCTAATTGAACGAGAAAATCGCAGCATTCATGGAAGAAGTGAAAAAATTGTGCCCGTCGTTTCGCGAGTACAAGCTTCGCCGAGTAGTGCCCATTGGTGCACCGAGTCTCCTCGTTCGTTAACTTTTCTCGTCGTTCAGTTAAAGCAGACCAGAGTTTCGCGGAACAATGCTCTGTACAGCGATGATCGGTGTAAAATGTAAGCTTACAAAAGATTGGGGGAGGGGGAGGGGAAGTAAACCATTACGAAGAAGAAATGCCACGTAGTTTGTAGGACATACTCGAACGGAGAGGGAACATCTGCGCGGCAAGAGAAAGGCGGCCGTTCTCTTTGGACCGTGTTCGTTCCGTAAGCGTTTCCTTCGCACCGAATCGCGATCAATTTCATCGCACGGAACAATCTAGATCTCTTGTATCCTAAAATCCTAGTCTCTGACGTGGAAGTCGCTCAAGCTCGATCCCTTCTTCCTTCGGGAGCGTCGAACACTTGTTGGAGAATTTCAAACGTTTTCATTTGCAACTGAGAATCTTAAACAGAGGGTGAGAAGGGATTCGCGCTTGATCCCCACTAATCTAGGCCTACTACGGAAGCAGTGTGAAGCCTCGTGGTGTATATTCTCCTTCGAGCACGATACTTTCAATCTTAATCTGTGTAAAACAGCTTATCAATTTTCCTGACTTTCGATGGAGTGTCGTAAAAAAGTTGTTCGGAAAAATAGGTAACTATGCATCGTCTTCGGACGATAAAGTTTGATTCGCAAACACGGAAACACAAAGGTACGTGGGAGCGCGAAAGTTGGGGCAAGGAGTGAAGGTCTCCGATGGGTGCAAGTACTCGGTGTCTCTTCGCCAATCGAAAACCTGCGCTATGTACACTTGCGCGGTGGTCTTGCCACAGCTTTCGTGCTCTTCGTTATACACTGTACGGGAGTCGAGCTCGAAGGGTTAACTATGACACACAAATGTCGTCACGAACTCGAATTCATTACGAATTCATCATAAAATTGTCGAATGACCCTTGTCATTGACGTTTGTTTCGAACTGCTCCTATACCACGAAGCTTCTCCAGGGATGACGATCCTCTGGAACGCTTGGAGACTAGAATTTTCCGATTTCTCAATACTGGCCAATTAAGAGTCGCAACTGAGATCCAACAACGCACGTAATTTAATAATTGACGATTCCGTGATGATTCGTAGGCGGTGTAATCATTTTCGCCGTTAAGGTGTCTGTCTAGCTTTGGAGGTGAGAAGAATCGATGTTACTTTTTTTGTACATTTTCTGACCGATTGTAGCATCGAAAGCAGTTACAGTCTCGTAAGTCTGACAATGAAATGCATCTAAATTGGAGGACAGAACGTAACGTTTCGAAATAAATTTTTCATTATAAATACATTACACTTGTGTATTATTCGTGATGAAAAATTTATTTGGAGACCTCGAACCGATCGTTTAATTAAATACTTGAGATAATTTCGATAGCTCCGCAACACATCGATAAACATGAGTAAAAAATGAACAATTCCAAATATCGTCCAACTTTTAAAACTCCAAACTAAACAGGCTCCTTAACGAAAACTAATTCCAGTCCAACAGCGACGGAGAGCCGTGATTAGTCGAATATTTTCGCGCAAACGTTACTCTCCGCGTATGCGTCGCGTAAACGAAAGGGAGAGACACGAAAAGAACTGAAGTTACTTCGCCGATTACACGTAGGGAAAAACGTGATTGTTACGCACGCGCAGACGATGTTACACGATCGTTGTGTATTTTTGTTGTTTTTTTTTTTTTGTATCGGTTGCAACGATAACAGCGCGCTGCGCGTGCGAGAAACTGACGACCAAACGGACGCGTTCTTCCAGGAATACCTCTCTCTCCCTGTTTGTTTTCATTCGTCTTTTTCGCACAATCAACGATAAACGATCTTTAAGGCTCGTTTTCGCGTGACAGAAATTTACGACATTTAATGCCGTGACATTTGTCATTGTGAAAACTTAAATGTCGGATATTGGCATGAAATTCCAATCACCGATGCTGTGTTATCACGACACGAGGTCATGACTTGTATAGTCCGAAAAAAAAAGACAAATAATAATAATAATAGTAATTTGTCTTGCCGATAAATGTCACGACACGAAATTATTTGTACATCGACCGTTATCATCGCAAAGTCAAGACTTCACGTCGTTTGAAAACGAACCTTTACGATTAGAGGACAAAACGCATCAGTTTGTTATTTTCTTTCTTTGCGTCCAGAGCGAAAAACTCTCCCTTCGTATATAATATATATAATATGTATATATATATATATATTTTTTTTTCTCTCTCACTCGCTCAACCTCACTGTTTTGGCACGCTCGCACACACATTCTCTCGTTTCATTTCTCTCGGACGCGTACATACTTTCTTGAAACACGCGCAAGGTATATTATATATCAAGGTACATGGTCGAATCTCGATTCGCTAAAATAGTCAGTGCGTTTTCTTGCCGCCACGGCGACCGATCCGTTTTCCCTACTTTCAGTTGGCCGTCCATCGAAACGACGCTCCATTCACCGTATGTATGTGTACTGCACGCGCGCGTGCGTGTGTGTAATTTTGTGCAACTCCATTCTCTGTGTTTCGTCATATTATGCGACATTTTTTACTCTCAACCTTCCATTGCATACCACGAAAACCGAATAAAAATAAACTTAATAAAATACGTGACGAAAGTATAAAATTTGCCTTGTGTAGATATATCAATAGCCTCTGTTACTTATTCTTCACCTTGAGTATTATTTAAATCACGCTAAATAATCAAGAAACAATTTCTTGTTTGAAAGACAACATAAAATTACCATCGTTAGCGCCTCGATTACGCCCACTTAAAAATGCACACAGACACATTTTTACGTATTAATTTCACAGAAATTGTTGTACACGAGCCACGTACGAACGAAAGGTTCGAGCCAAACGAGAGCACATGTGGCTTCGCTTGGCTTGGTTCTTTGATCCTTTCGCGACTTGAAAAGCCAAGGGAAACAAAAATGCTATTACAGAAACCTCCTACCCGTGAAAAGGCAGAATTAATGCAACGGAGGGTCGAGTGTTAGTCGCGGAATAAAAATGAAGAAAATGAAGATGGTCGAGTGGAGCGTCGCGGCGATACACGGCAAAGACTTTCACGAGCAGCAGCAGGAAGAAGGATAAAAAATATTGTCATCGACAGGCTCGTTAGAGATGCGTTTAATACGAGAATTTACGAGTGAACAATCGATAGATACGCGACTTCTCCTTGCTACCGTAGGTAAAAATCGTGTTTCCTCAACGATGGCCTAGCTTTTCGAATAAATCGTTTCCAATCGATCGATGCATACGTGACGATGTGTTTCGTTCGCGCGACCACGCAACGCGATATTGTTTCTTCCTGGTTTCTCGATGGATAAACAAAGATTACACGTATAGATAAAGTAAGTAAAATGATGGAGAAACTGTGACGCGAATAGTAAGAGAAAGAAAATTGAGCGCACGTTCCTATGACTTCTCTACTCTATATGATATAATTTTGTCCAACTCTGATACGTCGTTCTTCGCTCAACTCATGGCAACCCTGGTCGTGAGAGTGTCGTGTCGCATTCGAAGCGACTCGATTCGAATACGAAACGACACGCGACCGCGTTGACCTTCGGAAAGCCGGATCCTGCGTGGCCGAATGACGAAACACACACACGGTCTCACGGGCATCGTCTTAAAAACGGAAAAAGTTCGAGCAACAATTGGAAATATAAGCACGCGTGCCCCGAATTTTTTTTTTTTTGGCGTCAGACATTCGACCTCGAAATTAAAACTTTGAAAAGATCCGATGAGAAATTATTCGCGATCAACGATCACGTAGACCATTGAGCGTTATCAACAACAGAGCTCTCGTCTCACTCCCTCTTTTCTCTACCTTTTCTCCGCTCTCTGTTTCTCAGACCTTTTCAACTTAATTCTAAATTTAAGGCTTAATTAATTAATCGACATAGTGTTTCGTGTGGCTGTGTTTTGTGTCCCTGTATATGATCGGTGCATACTTTGTATGAAATCGATGAGCTGTTCATTTTTCCGTTATCTGCTCTCGCGCGAGAAATCATGAATACGATGATATAGCGACACAATTCGTGCCACGAGCTTCTTTCACGAAAAATACTTTTGAGAAAAGCTCGCGGCGCGGTGTGTATGTCTGTTTGACGGTCGTTCGAAGACGTTTGGTTCCATTTTGTTCCATGAGCGTTTATTTATTCTTTACTCTTCGTCTATTCTTTAAAAAAAGAACGTTCGATAAACACCGGTATTCTTTCCTTACGAGAAGTGGCACGGATATGCAAAAATTCGTAGAATTACTCTGCTCCTTAACACGTTTGCACGCGAGTTTCCCCGAAAAAAAAAGACGCAAAGAACGCTATAAAACGTACCTAGAGTGTTCAAGTGTTACCGTGAAAATTTTATTAACCGAATATACTCTAATCAATTACTTACAGACCTAAAGTGAAGCAGTCGCGAATAAAAGAAAGTAAAAAGTTAATAGTAACAAGAGACTGTTTTTCCCGATGTCGTTAACCTAAAAATTATGTGATGATTTTAAAACGAAGAGCACACCTCGGTAAACTTAGTTAAAACTTATCAAGAAAATATACGAATTTCGTTTACGGGAATAAGCAAAATACACCTGCTTAACGAAAATAAATCACGATTCGCTTTTACTGGGAAGAAACAAGCGCTCCTTCGATCGGAAGAATCCGTACGAGTGCTTGCACGTGTCACAGAGGAATCCAAAGACCGACGGGGGAATCCCCGACGCTTGTTCGCGGAAGCTCCCAAAGCTAATTTGCCCAGGAAACGAAGAAACGCGTCCTGACGTAACGACAAATTCAAACGAGGGCCAGGAAAATTCGGCGGGACAACCAAAGAGATATGTAATGTCAACGTATGCTTCACTCGAATACTCTCGTCAACGGTTTCCTGTTTTTCTTTAGGTTTAACAAGTTTGATTACGTAACAGGACACGATTTGAATTTTCGAAAAAGACCAGCAAAAGAAAATTGTTCGAAAGGTACGAAGATACATATATGTAGGTTTAAGCGAGACATGCAAGAGCACATGGCAAGTCGTGTGTGCACTTATATGTCACGCAATGTTCGTCGACGGATGCATCAGGGTGTAAACGGTGAGACTTGGCAGTTCGTAATGCCGCGTTCACGAAGACGTGAACGTCTGCAGAGCGTCGGGTCAACTATTCCTATTGACAGTTACATTTCTGAACATTCGCTGGCGATATTTTTGAAAGAAATCGCGACTATCAAAATTAAAGCAAATTGTTTAATCTATCAACCTTCGACGCGTAACTTATTATACAATATTCGTGTTTATGATCACAGAAGGAGGTCAAAGTTGTTATTGCAAATAAATTGAACGAAAAAAATTGTGTACATATAGATATATATATATATATACACAATTTTATATATATATATATATATATACTTTTACTATACTTTGCGAAAAGTTCAAACGAAAAAATATCATCAGAAGAATTCAATTTTCGATATAAACGATAAAAGGTAATACGTTTGCGTTACTGCAAGCATTTATACCAGACCATAGAATGTTCGAGGATATCATTGGTATCTTTTGAGTTTCTTTTTTGTTTTCAAAATGGACCCATGACACATCCGTGAAGCCTTCACGAGAATTATATCTTTTTCTTATCGATTATTCTTCGATCTTTCGTGTAACTCGCGACGAACGATTTTGTACGTTACAATATCACAATAAATGCCAGTCGAGTATGGATCGTTTCATTCTTTCTTTCTGTCTCATTCCACCTTTCGGTTTCTATAAGAAAACAACTTCCTTCCGTTTCGAAAAGAGATGGACAAACATCTCATGGAAAAACACAATCGTAGTGACTCGTACGCGACGTCTATTACATTATTTCTTCAACGTAAGATATGATTAGATTTTGAAATTCAAATGTTTACTTTTGCCCAAAGTATACAACGGATAAAAAAAATTATTCGTCCCTATACTTGATTATTTTCGATTCGGACAAGAATTTTGTCCATCTGTTAGTCTCCGTCTCGAGATCTACGACGAACGCTCGCGCGAATCGGAAACGGAAAAAAGTGTGAATAAAAAACCGGAAGCATCCCACGAGGATAAAAATCACGTTTGACCTCGATCCCATTTTTCGAAACGACCCAAGTTCTCGTTGGCTCTTATAATTAGAACTACGAACTATATTCTCATCTTAAAGTCACGAAGGTGGATTGCGACACACGATTGGACGTACTCGAGAGTTTCTAAATAATATACTTTTTTTTTTTTTTCTTTGTCCTTGTCGCAGTAAACATTGCACCCCCTCTTTATTGTGTCGCGTTTTCGAGCACTATATTTGCGTTCTCCCCACGATTGCGCGTGTATCTCTAACCACTAAAACAGTACGACAAATTAATAGTAACACTTGAAGAGCGTAAGGGGGTTGGTCACACCCCTCCATTTTTCGGGACAGAGAAAAACGTCTCCCAACTTTTTTTGCTTCGTTTCGAACAACGTACACGGAGCGTATATATACCATATCTCTCTCGTGTTACCCGACGCGTTTCTCTCGAAAGAACCGTTATTTCTTTTACTCTGTTATCGTACTCGTAACGTTCTTAAATTATCCCACCTTATCGTTTATCATATACATATAATATATAATATATATGTGTGTGTGTATATATATATATATGTTGATCAGTTA